GTCCTCAGCCCTGGGGCACCCATCCCATAGCCCAAGGCCCGTGAGGGCCTCTCCAAAGGCTGCAGACAGAGCCTCCATCTGTGCCCCAAGGACCACGGCCACAGCCTCGGTCGCCCCTGCTCTGGTCCCCATGTCCCCTGAGGCCACGATCCAGCCGCTCATGGAATGGTCCCTCAACCCCGAGCAGGTGACCCCACAGTTGGCGCTCATACCATCCCACTTCCATGAACTGCTCTCTGAGCGGCCCAGGGGGAAATGCTCTCCCTAGACTCTCCTCAATCCTATCCACAAACCCATGCAATGGCTCCCCTGAGCTTCGACGGATCCCTGACATAGGTGGCTCCGCAGGGTCCACATTCAACCCACGCCAGGCCTTGAGGCCAAGGGCCCCAACCCACTCCACACACGGTGGCAGAAGCGCTGCCCACGGCAAAGGCTTCCGTGGTCCCTGCCATGCTGAGAGTGATAGGGACAGAGGGGCCTGAGGCACGGCCATCCTCCGCCTGGACCTGACACCCCTCTCGGTACAGCACTGTCATTCAACGAACAAGGGGCTGGGGAGGACCTCCCCAGCCTGATCCATCCAGTCTCCAGCCACACAGGGCCGACATGCCAAGCCCTAGAGAGGGGTATCGACCCAGGGGGACCCGGGTCCACCCTCGGCCACCGCCTTCCTCAATCCCCCAAGATCTCCAGCCTCCCAAGGGCACCAGGCGGCCGGGCACTGGGGCCAGGGTTTGAAGTCCACGGAAAAGCCTGGACCAGTCCCACAGGAGCGGAGAGCTCCAATGGACTAGATCGGCCCCTGCCAAAGATCCTTTCCCTCATGCTCATCCTGACCACCCAGGGTCCCCCCTTTATCTTCCCCGTTCTCACCCACTACAGCTGCAGCACAAAGCCGGCGAGGGGCGGTGGGGGGTCGTGCAGGTGCCCGCCGGGCTCCCCAGGCAGAGCCGTGAGACCAGATCACGGGGGGGGGGCCAAGGGTCCTTTCCTTCACACTCATCCCGACCACCCGGGGTACCCCCTTTATCTTCCCCATTCTCGTCACTCCAGCTTTCCAGATCTCTCCACAGTATGCGCTTCACTTTCAATCTTTGGGCTCTCTCCTAATCAAACATGACCCACTGATCTTCCCCTGTGACCTTATCCACCCAGCAAAGTCGGTATGCCCGGGGGTCAGATCGGGTTGAAAGCATGACTTAAGGGCTGAGATTGTGGGGTAAAACCCCAAGGGTGCTTCCTCCCCTCTATTGATCTCTGCCTTGCGAGCCAGTTGTTCAAGCTGGTCCCAGGTAGCCCACTGGCATAAATTGCCAATGGGCAGCCAGGGAGTGAGAAGCAGGGCAGCTTCCCAGATCCTCTTTGACGAGGAATCGGACTGTTCTAACCCCTTGGATCTCAGCATATGTCTCAGTGCTGTGAGTACCGGGTCCTCCCTTTTACTTATTGTGTTACCCATCTCTTGGGGGTCTCACTTCCCTTGGTACTCACCCAATTAACCCCGGTGATCAGCTCCTGTAGTGGGTCCGAGTGGTCTTCGGGTGCCACGTTGGGCGCCAGATGTTGGGGATCCTGCCCTGACACAGGAGCCGGGGAAAGGGAGATGAGCTGTCCACCCATTACACGCAGCCTCCTGGGTAGACAATCAGATGTGACAGGGAGCCAGTCAAGCAGGAACTACTTTATTGCAAGTGTTTACAGAGCTTATAAAGGCAAAAACCACAAAGGAAAATCCCCTCCCCAACCAAGTGTCCAATCATTTTAAAGGTGAACTTGAGCATGCAGTCTCCTCTCCATAGCACAGCATTGTGTTCACAGGGTGATTACACGCTGCCAGGATGCACGGAAATGACAGGAGTCAATCAGCAATTCATCAAAACAAGTCTGGCCATGTTCTGGCCGTTTCCTCTAGGTGCCAGACAAGTCCGATCACACCCCAGCCGTTTCCTCTAGGCACAAGTCCAATCATGCCCCAGCCATTTCCTCTAGGTGCCAGACAAGTCCGATGACACCCCAGCTGTTTCCTCTAGGTGCCATCCTGCCTCGCCCCTGGCCTCAGGCCCCCCCAAACAACTAACTAGGAATTGCATTAATACTATTTCTATTTAACATAATAATAGTATTATGCTCTCCCCTATGGCCTGTGTCCTGTCTAGCCACAGGTTCCTAGGCCTGATGTCATTGTCAGGTTTGGGCTCCACCTTATTAAATTAATCTAATTAAATTCAATTAGAAAGTGGTTGGTTAGTCCCATAATATTTGTGCCACTATTGGACCAGTAGACATATCTTGCCAAGCCAATTGTTGTTGAAGCTCTTGGATTCCCAACTGGGTAAGGGTGATGATTAATTTTCTCTTCCAATTCCAGAACTATGAAAGCTAACCAGTAGAGATGAAGCTTTCAAGTCAGCATCAACTTGATTTTTCTTTGATATTTCTGCAGTTCATGTATGTAGTGTCTTCAGCAATAGCCTACCTAGTTTTTGAGACAGGATGTCTCACTGTACCTGGAGCTCACCAATTTGGCAAGATTAGATCACCAGTGAGTCCCAAGGATCCACCTCAAGAACTGGGATTACAGGTATCCTGCACCACACCCACCATTTATATGGGTACTGGAGATCTGAATTTAGACCTCATACTTGCACAGCAAGCACACTTTACTGATGGAGCCATTTCCCCAGCCCTGTTTAGTCATTTTTAATCAATTTAGTTGATCATTGCCAAAGTTTTGAGACAAATATTGCAGTTTTAAGTACAGAACAATCCTTTCACAATTTCAGTAATATATCCTTTTAAAATCTTCCCAACTCCAAAACAATGGATGTTTTCATTTGTTACAAATTCTTCACTTCTGATATGATCTTGATATAAAATAAGCCAGGCTCATTTGTTTTGGGCTGGAAGTTTTGACAAAGACATTTTTAAAAAATGTGCTTCATCTCTATGCCAAAAATAGAGAAACTATAAGCATTTTAAGAATAATCTTTGACCTGGGGCAATAGCTCAGTGGATGAACTGCACAGTTCATACATGGTAACATTATAGTAACAGTTAAAAATTAATACTGCACACTAGGGGATGGGTAAATAACCCTGGTAGATTAGCAGTATGAAACCACATTTCTCTATTACATTAATGATTGTTCTGGATACAATGGAAAGCTGTTTATGACATTAAATGTGCTAAGCACACAAAACTGTCTTTATCTGTGAGAACTGTATACAAATACATGTTTTCTGTATATCTATTATACTATGCAAAACAGGGCAAGGGAACTGTGGGTAACAGCTTTCTTGTAGTGGTTAGTAACTACCATGTACCTGGAGATGAGGTAAACACCATACCCATTCTTGCTTTACAGTACTGGAGGAGGAGGGTCAATCTGCTGCCAACCTGGGAGCTGGCATTGAGGTACCCTCCCTCAGCCAGAAAGGCAGGTTTTCCATCCAAGCGTTGCCTTCTCTCTCACCTGTATTTTGTCTTACCCAAGGGAAACAAGACTGAAGTAAATCTATTCACAAAGCTGAGTTGGCTCTAGAGCTTCAGAACCCAACTACCTTCAAGATTAAACAAGAAAAGCAAAGTGTGTGAGAGGTATGTATGTTATTTGGCAATTTGTGTGAAAGAGACATATTAAATTGAGCTTACCTGAGGAAATTATGGTAAAACAGACAGGATGGTTACCAGTAACTGCCCCTGGAGACTGGGAGCTGAGTTAAAAGGAAGACACATTTTTCTTTTTTTATCTTTAATGTTCTTTAGTTTTATATTTTGTCTGCATCTGTGTAAGTGCACATTTGTGCAATGCCCCTAGAGGCCAAAAGATGGCATGGGATCCCCTGTAACTGGAGTTAGGGATAGTTGTTGACCACCTTGTGGGTGCTGGGAACCAAACAAAGGTCCTCTACAAGCATAGTGGGTACTCTTAACTGCAGAGCCATCTCTCCAGTCCCATACTTTTTTTTCTGGTCTTTGAGACAGGGCCTCCCTGTAGCCCCCACTGTCCTGGAACTCACTATGTAGACCAGGCTGGCCTTGAACTCAAGAGATCCGCCTGCCTCTGCTGGGATTAAAGGGGTGAGCCATCACGCTCAGATATGCTTTTCTTTTTTAAACTTTTTTTAATCTTATTATTTTTATTTTATGTGTATGCGTGTATTGCCTGCAGTTAGGTAAGTGCACCTATGTTGTGCAATGCCCGAGGACGTCAGAAGAGGCTGTCAGATCCCCTGGGACTGGAGCTACAGACAGCTGTTAGCTGCCATATGGGTGCTGGGATTCAAACCCGGGTCTTTTCCAAGAACAACCAGTGTTTTTAACCTCTGAGCCATCTCTCCAGCCCCCAGTCCCATACTTTTCTATAAAGTATAACATAAATCTTTTCTATTGAAACATTATTTTTAGAAGTATGAAATACTCAAATTAATCATCTTAACTTTTAAACCATGCATGCACACATCTGTAATCCCAGAATTTGGGAGGTTCCTGATCCAGAGTTCAAAGCCAGCTTGAGGTCTGGTGTGGTGAACCACCCCGTGAATCCTAGAACTCTGGAGGCAAAGACAGGTGGCTCTCTATGAGATCAAGTTCAGCCTGGTCTACAAAGCCAGGTCCAGGCGATTGCGGCTACAGGGAGACAGTGTCTCAAAAAATCAAATAAAACAAAAGAGACCCAAACCACTCTGAGCTACATAGTGAGTTTCAGGCCAGCCTTGGGCCAGAACCTGTGTCAAAACCAAACCAAACCCAGTCTTGTCAATATTATAAAAACATATCCCAAATAACAAATTCATATTCTGAATTCCAAGTTATACATATCTTTTGCCCGATTTGAAGACTGCGTACAGGCATTATGAACCACAACCTAAGACATACATACACCTATGGGAATTTCAAGGCCAAAGGCAAGTGGTGCTGAAGGGTGAGTTCCAGGCCAGCTGGGGCTACAGGGAAATCCTGATTTAAAAAGACCCCCCCCACCCCGCAAAAAAAATTTTTTTTTTCAAAGAATGGGCCCGCGCCTCGGTTCCCATGTCCTCTGGACTCCCAGACCCGCAGCACAGCTACCCCCACCTCCCGGGCCGCCCGCGCTCCTCCCACGGCCCGCCCCGGAGCAGCGGCCCCTTCCTGTCGCTATTACCCGCCTGGGCCCGGCGCTAAATTCAAAAGCGGAAGCGGCTGATGCCGGAAACGAACGCTCGCGGGAGGGCGCCGCACTGGGGACCCCGTGTCCACTTCCGGCAGCACGCGACATGGCCGCCGGCGGGGAGCGCGAGGCGGCCCGGCAGCACGTGTTCTTGCTTCCAGGTAGACGCGGGGGTCAGTGGGAGGGCGGCGCGCGGCTCCCACCCGACCAGGCGGGGCGGGTCCTCTCCCCACACGCAGCAGCGCGTCCTGGTCACGTGTCACCTCCTGGGCTTTCCAGACCCGGAAGTGCCGGGAGGCCGGCTGGGATCCCTGAGGATGGAAGCGGAAGCACTGAGCCTCGGCGCCTGCGGAGTGCGCGCCGTAGGGGCCCCGGTTGAGCTGTGACTCCGAAGTTCTGCTCTTTGGGGTTCCTGAGTGTCCCCACCGCGGCATCTGGACCAGTCCCTGGGATCCTACTGGATCGAAGTCAGAGACTTAACAGTTCTCCTGCCCTGGACAGACCCCAGATGGCCGGACTATCCGGAGGCAGCTGGGGTCGTTTAGGCCAAGGGTGGCTCAGGATAAAGACGACCGGAAACCCAGAACCAGGGCATATGACGGTGGGACAGTTGACAGTCAGTGCCACATGTGGAGGGACCTGTGAAGTGGCAGAGAACAGTTTCTTGGACTAGGGTGTGCAAGCCAGAAACATTCAGCCATTTTATAGATGATACACTTGCTGGTATAATTTTGGGGAAGAGAAAACCCTCCAAATCACTTTAATTTTGAGTTTCGGCTAAGAAAATGCAGTGTATTTTTACAGTAAATGTACTGCAACAGAATACCTGCCCAGTAATGTAGTTTTTATAGTGGGTACTGAAATAATATTTGCACAATAGTCTGACACATGCATTGTTTTGCATACATAACTTACCTCCTTTGTAAAGAGTTTATTCATAAGGTAAAGTATGGATTTTAAGTATGCAACTCATGCAATGTAATATGCAAGGTGTATGACTTTCAATAGTAGTTCATTCCTCCTCCAGAGATTTCCCCAGGTATCTCTCCTGCCTTCTGTCACCAAATTCGTTTAGCCCATTTGGACTTGTGTGCCCTTGTATCTGTCGTTCACCCAGCAGTCCAGCAGTATGCCTGTCAGTCCATCCAGGTTGTGTGTACCATTGGTTTTTCTGGTTGGCTGGGTGGTCTTTGCTGCTTTTAGTTCATTGTATGACTGTCAACACTACTCTGCTGAGGATGACATCGTTTCTAGTTTGCAACTCTTGGGAGTTAGACTTTTGAATATTCTTTTGAGGCTGTTGATGGACACTGATCTTTCTTTAGGGCGTCTGTACTGGAAGTGGAATGGTGGTCTCAGAGGTTTTTGTCTTTAGCTTTGGAGCTACTGCAAAATAGTTTTCCAAAGTAGTTTTGCCAATTTATAACAGCTCCAGAGCCTGAGAGTTCCCATTGCTCCACACCCTCCTTAAGGTATTCAAATGGTAAAGCAGCTAATGCAAAATCCATGATTTTGGTAGTTTGTCAGAGGGCTAGCTACATAACCTTTTCATTGGGGTGGGGGAGGGGGGTGTCCCTTCTCACTTCTGTCACATAAATTAGATTTTTAGAGTAGGAGCTCTAATCATCCTATTGAAATCCAGTGCATTGCAACTACTCAGAAATACACAATAGCTGGTGATAATTTTTTTTCATTTAGTTGACTGTTTAATCAGTACTGACGTCTTCATTCTTAAAGTGTGTTGTAATGATATTAAACACAGAAATTCTGAAAAGAATTTAAGTATTGAATGCATCCCTCAAAATTTTAGGTTGATGATGTCTGTTGCAGGGTGGTGAGAAGCATTTCAGCCTAGTTTCTGTTCAGCTGAGCTGTCCTATCATGGAGTCAGCTGACTGGCTGATAGTTCTATGTGGTTGGTGTGGGGAGGTGATGTTCTGTTAACAGTTGAACTTGAGCTTCCTGCCTTCTAATCTTCTAACTGGCCTTTAGTGCCACCTGCAGGTTCTAAGGATTCAAACAAGGTTGGATAGTTGGATAGTGTGACAGTGGTTTTCAAACTTCCACATCAGTCACATAGGAGTGAGACTCCACCTGCAAAGGTTTTGATTCAGTGGTCCTGGGCTGAAGCCAAAGAATGTGCTCTTCTAACAAGTTTCCAGGTGATGCTGCTGGGCTGGTTGGTCCAGGGACACCTCCTGGAACCACTGCAGTGAGGAACAACCCTTGGGAGCTAGATTGGAATGTGGGCACCCAAACCTGAGGTTTTGCTCTCTGTGATGGGCTGGAGTTTATATAAATGTAAGAGATGGAGAGATGGCTCAGTGGTTAAGAGTGCTGGCTGCTGTTCCAGAGGGCTTGGGTTTGGTTCCTAGCACCCACATGGTGGCTAATAGCTATTGGTAACTCCAATTCCAGGGGATCCAATGCCCTCTTCTGGTCTCTGTGGACATTGCATGTACATGATGCAGTTGCATACATGCAGACACTCCTATGTGTAAAATAAAAATAAATAAAAGAGCTGGGTGTGGTGGCACACACCTTTAATCCCAGCACTTGGGAGGCAGAGGCAGGCGGATCTTTGTGAGTTCAAGGCCAGCCTGGTCTACATAGTGAGTTCCAGAACAGCTGGAGCTACAGGGAGACCCTGTCTCAAAAAGACAAAATAAATTAAATAAATAAATAAAAATAAAAGAAATTCCTGCGTGAATACAGTATGAACTCTGTCTTCATAGTAGTTGTTTTTTTGCAGCAAGCATAAAGTTACCCTATTTTTAACTGTGAATTCAAGAACTAGAGACTGTTGAGTATACCTGTGACTCTGTCCACCATAGCTACAATGAAGTTGGGCCCTTCATAAAGAAAGTAAAGATAATACAAAAATTGTCAAGAGCATTTGTTGGAGGTGGCCTGTATTGTTCTAGAAAGCCTCCTCTGGGAGCTGAAGAACTCACTGTACTGAAAAGTGAGCACATTCTCTGGCAGATCAAAGAATGATGGAGGGGTTTATCTGTGTCACCGTGCACAGCCACCCACCTTGTGATGATACTTTTCCCCATAATTTATACTGTGTATCAAGTTGCTTAGAACAGCACTGTTATATCATGAAGGATATATTTAAAGGTTGGTTTCAGGTCACTTATCCTGTAGCTCACAGTTTTGAAGAGCTGAACATCCTAGATAAACAAGCTGGAACCTGAAGGGCATACTCTGGGCAGGTGGGTATGGACGTGCTCCCATTGCAGCAAGGGAAATACTTCTTTAGATTTGGCATGAGCTCAGCTGCTTCCCTGACACAGCCTGGGAATACACTATTTGTTGTTTTAGTTACTCTAAGGCTATTAACATCTTTACTTTTTGGAACATATTAGAAACCTCCATCCCTCTTTGTTGCCAGAAAAAGCAAATGTAGTCATATTTTCATTATTTGTTTCCTCAGTTTTTGTACACTTGTCAGTTCTAAGCTGGGATAGTCAGGTGTGAGGGTCAGGCAGGAACAAATCAACTGAGTATGGGGTAGGTAGAAGACTGTACATATTCCATTAGGGCTGAACCATTAAGGGCATTCACCTCCTGGAGATGTTCAAACATTGGAAAACCCTAGTTTTCTATGAGGAAGAAAGGGAGGAATAGAAATATTAGGATCATTTAAAAAGAGAAAACTCATGTGGGTTCAATTAGCTTGACTAAAAATGTCCTCAGTCAGGCCCCTGAGTGAAGCTGTTCTCTATCAAACTGGCTTCAAATTGAATCAAATCTTAAATTATGGACACATTTTACATTGAAGCTATTCCTTTTTATTTCAAGTACCTATTAAGAGGTATATTAAAATAGCTACTAAAGGGAAAATTCACATTTGTTATTCATTTCCCCCAAGGTAGCACAAGTTCTGGGCAGTTTCTTTGGACAGAAAAGGGCGAGTCACTTTTGGGGAGACAGGAATGCCAGGCCTGGCACCTTAGCCATTTCATGTGTATCAGCTTTCTAGCTGGGGTATCAACATGACCACACATGATGTCTTAAATATAAAACAAAACAAGAATTGAAAGCATTGTATAAATTCACATTTTAGATTTAAAAAAGAAAACTGTTTCCTGTTAACAATGGAGGAACTTTGTATTAATGTTATTTCTGTTTATAACCTTGTAGTTTTTTAGAAATCTAAAGAAAAGGATTTTTGATGCTGGTGTGAGGAACAGGAAAGAAAGTAAAAGTATAAAGTATAAGGTCAGGGAGAAACTACTGTAGACCTCACTGACCTGTCAGTGACCATAAAAAATAAAAATAGAGCCTTTTTCCTCTGAGTTAAGAATGGGCAAGGTTTTTGCCCTTTGTAGAAACTGTTTGCATACGTGTCCATGTATACATGTACATTTGTGTTTAGAAATAAGCTTTGTGGGCTGAGAGCTGCCTTCCCTACAGGTGGTAGAGAACTTGCCAGTGCTGCTAGACTTGAGATAGCCTCTGAGTAATTTAGCTCAGATTCTTGTAAGACACTCCTGCTTGTTCCACAGTCTCCTGCAAGCTGTCTGTGAGTTGTCCAGCACAGAGGGAGGATGTTTCACATTTTCCACATGAATCTGGCTTTGCCTTTACACATTTCTTAATGGGGCCCCGCTGGTCTTTCTCAGATGGTCAGTGGATCTGCTTCCCTGCTGTTGAGCACGTCCTGAAGTGATGGGTTTGGAATCAGTTCCAGTTGGTAATCTGGCTGTTGGTGCAATCTTGTTCTCTTAGTAATTGCTCCAGAAGACTAGGAAAAAGTATGAACTTAGGGCTCCCACAGATGTATCCTGAGTAGAAAACATCATAAAGTAAGCAATGGTCTTAGTGTTTTATTTGAAAAGGAATAGGAATGGCAAGGGCTTCCTACATCCTCTGAGCTTTAACTGTGATGTTAGAAAACAGCTCAATCAGTACTGCCCAAAGCTTGGCTATAATGAAAGACTCCTAAAAGCTAAGTTTATCCAGTTTGTTAATTCTGTGTCCTTGGACAAATGACTTAGTACAGTGGGGAGAAAAGAACCAGTCTCCTAGACTTTGTTGGTGGTTTGGTGTTAGCACCTAAGCTCTCTTACACCCCAGACTCTTAGCCAGACCTCTGATAATATTTGCTGAAACAATATCTCCTCTTCCATTTCTTCCTCAGTGTCTTTTCCCT